AGCTAGGCTGACGCCACGGCACTCACTCTAGCTAGGGCAACAGAGTGAGACTCTGTCTCAAAAAAAAAAAAGAAAGTTATCTATATAGTAAAATACACAAATTGTAGGTTTATAGCTTAATGACATTTCATGTTTGCACATACTCATGTAACCACTGTCTAGATCAAGGTATAGAACTTTTCTAGCATTTGCTAGAACCTTCTGGGTTTTTCTGGAAGGTGTTGCACATTCTAAGGGAATGACAACTGCATCCTACCTGGTCTAAGTGGAAGTCTATAGATACCATAGACTTGAAGATGCAAGTAAACATGTATATATTCTTATAGATTCCATGAGATCCTATGACATAGAATAAAGGAAAACATCTAGAAAACATTCAAGTCCCCTCAAACCACCTCCCTCTAATCCTGGTCCCTCTAGCCATTGTCTATGAGGAACACTTTGATTGGAGTCCTGTCTGAGCATTTATATATGCATGTATTTGTGCCTAGAGAATTGTACATATATATGATTTTTGTATTGTGATAAAATATACATAACGAGATTTGTCATTTTAACCTTTTAAGGATATATCCTTCAGTGGCGTTAATGCATTTGGAATGTTGCATAACCATCAGCACTATCTATTAATATTTCCAGAACCATTTCATCTTCCCAAACAGAAACTCTGTCCAGCCCCTGGTAACCTCTACTCTACTTTATCTCTATGGATTTGTCTATTCTAGATATTTCATATAAGCGGACTCATACAATGTTTGTTTTTTGTGTGTCTGGCTAATTTCACTTAGCGCAATGTCTTCAGGGTTAGTCCGTGTTGTAGCCTGAACCGGAACTTCATTCTTTTTTAAGGAGGTACCACGTCTTGGCTGTCCATTCATCTGTGGGTGGACACGGGTTTTCGTAGTATTTTTTAAAATCTCAGATCAGATCATTCCACGTATCTTGTTGTGCCTCTGGTCTCTTTCACTCAGCAGCGTGTCTTGGTGCTCACCGTGCGCGGGTAAACGGAGATGTACCCTGTTCGTTCCAGCGGCCGGGCGGTATTCCGCCGCCGTGAGAGTAGCACAGTTCAGCTACTGATCCCCCATCGATGGGCTCTTAGGTTACCACTAGTCACTGACCGCGGTGGCCTCCTTCGTTGGCTCCACCCTCCCTGTGTGACACAGGACAGTCTGGAGGGCTTCCCTGGTGCAGCGCCCCTCCCCCAGCCAGGGTCCGCCCCAGCTGTGTCTCCGCCGCCCCCAGGTCAGTGACTGGTGGGAGGAGTTTGTGTACCTGCGCGCCCGCACCCCGCTGATGGTGAACAGCAACTACTACATGATGGTAAGAAGGGGAGAAGGGGGCTTGGGGGGCGGGGGTCACAGCGCCCAGGCCTAGGGTTGGGATACCTGGGTAGAATGTGGCATTTATGGTCAGTGACCTGCATCTGGGATCACAGTGTGGGCTTCATTATCCCGCCCTCTTTTGGGGTCAGGACCTGCATTTGGGTCAGTGTCTCCATCGGGGGCAAAGCTGACCCCAGGCGTTTTTGCTGTCCCCTCTGCTGGCCCCCAGGACTTCCTGTACGTCACGCCCACGCCTCTGCAGGCAGCTCGAGCTGGAAATGCAGTCCACGCCCTCCTCCTGTACCGCCACCGCCTCAACCGCCAGGAGATCCCCCCGGTGAGCAGGCTCCTGTGGGCTGGGGACAGAGGTGTGTGTGGTCCTGTGACGTTGGGGCCACCTGGGGCCTGGAAGACAGCTCACAAGCCCCGCATCTCCTGCAGACTTTGCTGATGGGAATGCGCCCCTTATGCTCTGCCCAGTACGAGAAGATATTCAACACCACGCGCGTTCCAGGGGTCCAAAAAGGTGAAAACTGCCCCCCACCCAACACACACACACAAACACTGGTAGAGGCAGAACAGTGTAGTGGCTAAGAGCATGTTTCTCAGCCTGCCTGAGTTTGAATCTCAACTCTGCTTCCTAGCTGTGTGATGTTGGGCAAGTTTTTACCCTCTCTGAGCCTGAGTTTCCACATCTCTAAAATGGGATAATAATGGCGTAGGGTGGAGAAGATTAAAAGGGTGCTCAGAACAGCTCAGGGCATGTAAGAAGTGCTTAATCCATGGTCATTATTCTTACAATATGTCTGGTTCCCTCTCCCACGCTTCTGCCAATGCCACTCCTAGACTACATCCACCACCTCTGTGACAGCCGACACGTGGCTGTCTTCCACCGGGGCCGATTTTTCCGCGTGGGGACCCACTCCTCAAATGGCCTGCTTTCCCCAAGGGCCCTGGAGCAGCAGTTTCAGCGAATCCTGGATGACCCCTCACCTGCCTGCCCCCACGAGGAACATCTGGCTGCCCTGACCGCTGCTCCCAGGTGAGGGTCAGAGGTCACGTGCTCTCAGAGGCCAGGCCAGCATCCCAAGGCTGTGAAGGGGCAGGTGGTTGGGGTCAGGTGGAAGCTGGGCGCAGTGGACTCAGGCACATCCCCGGCCCCACAGGGGCATGTGGGCCGAGGTGCGGAGGTCCCTGAAGACTCGGGCAGCAGAGGCCCTGGAGGCGGTGGAAGGGGCCGCTTTCTTTGTGTCACTCGACTCTGAGCCTGCAGGGCTCACCAGGGAGGACCCAGCAGCTTCGTTGGATGCCTACGCCCATGCCTTGCTGGCCGGCCGTGGCCACGACCGGTGAGTCAGCTCTGGGTCTGGGAGCCCAGACCTGGCCCCCCAGACCTAGTGTCCCCCAGTGTCCAGACCTAGGACCCCTGACACTAGACAACCAGACCCTGGAGCCCAGACCTAATGCCTTAGGACCTGGAGACCTCTGGCCCAGAGAACTCTTAACCCAGACCCAGGGATTCCAGCTCTGAGGACCACCAACCCCAAACCTGGGACCCCAAACCCCAGACCCAGAGAACCCCAACCGGGGGACCTCAGACTCAAAACTTGGACCACTGAATCCTCAGGCCTTAATGCGGGCACCCCACACCCGGGGCCCCAGGCCTGGACTCCCACACCTAGAGCTCTTCAGACTGCTTCTAGAGGTCTATGAGGCAGCATCCCGATTTCTTAGACCCTGGGAGCATCCTCCTGACTTCCCAGCACCTCAAAAACCTTGAACCTTCCTCAGCAAGTTCCCTAAAAATCTCCAAACTCTAAATCCTAGACATGCGGGGAGACCCTCCAGAGCCACCCGCTGGAGACCCCCACACCAGCACCCCGGCTGATCGCCACATCTCCCCACCTCGACACTCCCCCTCAAGTGCCACAGAAAGCACCCCGAGTCCCCCCGCCTAGCTCTCGGTGACCCCTCTGAACTCTCCCCGACAGCTGGTTTGACAAATCCTTCACCCTAATCGTCTTCTCCAATGGGAAGCTGGGCCTCAGCGTGGAGCACTCGTGGGCCGACTGCCCCATCTCAGGACACATGTGGGAGGTAGGGCAGCCAGCCCTCCCCCTGTTCTGGGGACCCCCAGCCCCCTTTCCAAGGACTGTCCTTTCGGGGGCCTTAGGTCGAAGAAAAACTGAGGCTGAGACAGAGGCAGAGGCCGGCCCAGGTCACCCAGCAAACAAGGGGTCTGGGATGCTGACCTTCCTTTGATGAGCTGGTCATCGGGGCTCAGAGATGGAAAGTGACATTCCCAGAGTCACACAGTGAGGAGTGGCAGAGTGAGAATGTGAACCCCGAGTGTCCTGACACCAGAGTGAGGCTTTTCCACCACATCACAGAGTCAGAAGAACTATCTTCCAGCTCTGGTCTGCTGTGTGATCTTGGGCAAGTTACTTTCCCCCTCTGAGCCTCAATTTCCCCCTTCATCACATGAAAGTATTGGAATTTCTTTTATCATTAAGCTTCTGTCCAGCCCTGATAATCTTAGCATCTTTATTTTTGCTACTTTATTTAGTCCCTAAATCATAGGGGGCAGTCACTGCACCCCATTGGGGTCCCCCTCCTCCACGGGGCTGGATAGGGCTCCCTGGCCCAGGCTGGGGTCTCTGCATGATGAGGGGGAGGGAAGCCCTTTCCAGATCTTGAGAACGAGAACAGCCCCAGGTGAGCTTTGGCCCTTCTGTGTTTGTTTCTTGTTTGTAAAAATGGGAATTTTTTCCTTTTAATTCTATTTATAAATGAAACACTTGATTCAGTTTCACTTCAGACCCTTCCGGTCACTTCATGCCGACCCACCGTGTTTGCATATTGACTTTAAAGGAACAGCCGTAATGTAGAGTAAGATAAAGTGATGTGTTCTTTTCCCAGTATACTTCTAACGTCACAGTGAAGGTATTAATCCCTGCTTGCTGGGCTGGTTTTGAGAATTAGGTGGAAACGTGAACAGAGAAGGCCGGCAGGCGGTGGGCACTCGGTCAGGGCTGATTTAGAATATTCCATAGTCAGCAGGACATGGGCGCCACCCGGTCAGGATGAGCACTGCCCTGGGAGGCCCAAACTATTCTTCATCTCTCCAGTCCCAGGGTCGTGGTGGTGGGAGGGTCCTTGGCAAGGGTGGGGCGGCCCCGGGTGACTCTTCATCCGCTGGTCAGAAGTACAGGTCTGTAAATACCGGTCGAGTGTTAGTGTTCGTCCTGTTTGCAACGGACGTGGACCAGAGGCCCTGTCTGTGAACATCAGCAGTTTCCCAGGAACTGCCCCCCACCCCAAAGGGACTGCGGAAAAGAGGTCCTTGGTTAGGAGCTCCCCCCCCAGTCCAAAGAGAGGAGGGACTCTGACTGCCTGTGTTCCCACACAGTTCACGCTGGCCACAGAGTGCTTTCAGCTGGGCTACTCGGCAGATGGCCACTGCAAGGGGCGTCCCGACCCCGCGCTCCCCCAGCCCCGGCGGCTGCAGTGGGACCTTCCGGACCAGGTGAGGCCGGGTTTCTGGGTCTTTTCTTCAAGTCCCCAAATTCCTAGCCTTGACTCTAAACTCATCCCCATCCCCAATCTCAACCTCCAAAGCAACCCCTAAGCCCAAGCCCGTTCTGTCCCCAACCGTGACCCATCCCCAGCCTCACACCCCGCCCCATCCCCTGCTCCATTCCCACCTCGGTCCCCATCTGGTTCCCTTATTTGTCCCCATTTCCATACTCCCTGCCAACCACCTTCCCTCCAGCCCTACCCCCATCCGTAACCCCGACCTCCTGCCTCCTCCTCCCCCCTGGCAGATCCACCCGTCTATCTCTCTAGCCCTGACGGGAGCCAAGGCCTTGTCTGCCAACGTCGACTGCCACGTCTTCCCCTTCGCCCACTTCGGCAAGAGCTTCATCAGGCGCTGCCGCCTGTCCTCAGACAGCTTCATCCAGATTGCCCTGCAGCTGGCCCACTTCCGGGTCAGTTGGGTTCCCCACCCCTGCCCCTTCAGGACGCCAGCCCCTCTGAGCCCCCAAGACCTGCCCTCTCCCTCGTTCCTCCTGGTCATTGCCATTGAGGGTCCCCCGTCCACCGTCCACCGTCGCGATTTCTCTCTCCCAACACATTCTCGGGCTGAGGAAGCTGGAGGCTTGCACAGAGGTGGGTCAAGTCTGCAAAGACTTCCTGAGCCTGGTTGACAGATGCCTCTGCTCCTTGTCCCCCAGGACAGGGGTCACTTCTGCCTGACTTACGAGTCAGCCATGACTCGCCTGTTCCTGGAAGGCCGGACGGAGACGGTGCGGTCTTGCACGCGGGAGGCCTGCAGCTTCGTGAGAGCCATGGAGGACAGAGAGAAGACAGTGGGTGCTGGCCTCGCGGGGGCGTGGGTCATTTCCATGTGCTCGCTCAGCCGCCTGCAAGGTTTATGGGCACCTCCTGAGCCCAGGCTACGTGATGGCACTAGGGACAAAGGAAGCATCTGCCGTAGTCTCTGACTTCCAAGAGCTTGCTAAGGGGGAGACAGAATGTGACCAGCACAGTGTGGTGTGTGCTTAGCGGTGGTCACACAGGGCACTGGGAGCGCCCAAGGGGCCCTATTTCCACAACCGACTCTGCTTATTTAACCTCTGTGTGACCTCGTGACTTCCATTTGGCACCCTTGCCCATAACCTCTCTGCCCAGAACCCCTCCCCGGAACCTCTGTTCCCTCTGTCAGGACCTGTGAAGTATTGTGGTTCAGGGGAAGGCACTTGGGCTGCGGAGTAAGATCTGGGGACCCACCTGGTTCTGGGCAAGCGATTTCCCCTCTCTGAGCCTCAGTTTCCCATCTGCAAATTGGGGTTGCTATCTCTGCCTAGCAGCCAGCTGGGCTGAGGCCAAGTGTGCCATAGGCTCAGCAGTAAGCCCACTTCCTGTCCTTCCATGACCTGCGACCTCCCTGGGAACCCCAGGACCCGCAGTGCCTCGCCCTGTTCCGCGTGGCGGTGGACAAGCACCAGGCTCTGCTGAAGGCGGCGATGAGCGGGCAGGGAGTCGACCGCCACCTCTTCGCGCTCTACATCGTGTCCCGATTCCTCCGCCTGCAGTCGCCCTTCCTGGCCCAGGTTGGGGTGCAGGGAAAGGGTTAAAGAGGGAAGTGGGGAACCACGGGAGGGAGAGACATCAGGGCAAGGACTTTGGAAAGGAGGCATCACCAGAGGAGAAGTTAGGGAGAGAGCCGGGGTTAAGATAGGCAGAGGGGCAGAGCGGGGCAGAGGAGGGGAGGGAAAGTGGGGAGGGAAAGTGGGGAGGGAAAGTGGGGTGCCGTCAGGGGCGTGGCCTGGAGGGCGTGGTGGGGCGTGGTCAGGAAGAAGGCGGGGCAGGTGAGAAAGGGCTGCGAGTGCAGACCCGCGGTCTCTTTCCTGCACATGTGACGGTCTCCTGCCCTCAGGTTTACTCAGAGCAGTGGCAACTGTCCACCAGCCAGATCCCTGTTCAGCAAATGCACCTGTTCGACGTCCACAATTACCCGGACTATGTTTCCTCGGGTGGTGGATTCGGGCCTGTGAGTGGAGCTGGGCTCAGAGGAAAGAGGGGCTGGGGGCCTGCACCCCTGCATAGCGGGGACGGTGACGGGTGCGCTATTTTGTTCCCTTCACCCTATTCCACTCCAGGCCGACGACCATGGTTATGGCGTTTCTTATATCTTCATGGGGGATGATATGATCACCTTCCACATCTCCAGCAAAAAATCAAGCACAAAAACGGTGAGACAAACTGGAGCACCCCCAGCCCCTCCTCCCTCAGACCTGGGGGTCCAGGCCCCCAGCCCCTCCTCCCTCAGACCCAGGTCTAGACCCCCAGCTTCTCTTTCTTCAGACCCGAAAGTCTGGGCCCCCAGTATCCCTTCTCCCACCTTCCTCTAGACCTGACACATTTCTCCTTCCAGGACTCCCACAGGCTGGGGCAGCACATCGAGGACGCACTACTGGATGTGGCCTCTCTGTTCCAGACGGGGCAGCATCTTAAGCGCCGGTTCCGAGCATTAGGGGAGGAGGACTCGAGGCACAGGTGTGGATTTCCCTCCAGCTAGACCGGAGGCTCCAAGGCATCCATGACATCCTCCAACTGCTGACCCTTTCCAGCAGGGAGCCGGTCTCCCTTGGGGACGAGGGTGAAGATCCCCCAGCTGTTCTAGCGCAAGACAGGGGCAGCCAGTTTGGCAACCCCAAATCCGGGCCAATAAAGACGTGTGAGCTGGGTGTGTGGTGTCCTCTGTGCTCTTGGGCAGGGCAGGGGTGGTAGAGTGAGGGTCAGGGTGGAGGAGAGGAAAAGTTCTCATCCATCCCCAGCCCCAATCAGGGATTCCCAGTTACAATCACAGCTTCAACCACAACCCACGACACCTGCCCAGTATACCCCATTCCCGACTTCAGTCGTACTAAACCCAACCCTCCAAGGCCAGTCCCAGTCAAACAATCCCACAAGCTTTCCTGAACCTAATTCCTGCTGCCCTAACACCACCTGTCCACCTCAAGCCCATCTCCAAACCTAAACATCCAGCACCAATCTGGTCATCCCGATTGACAACCTCCAAGTGAATCTACCAAAATTCTTACTACCCATCCCCACTCCATCCATTTCAACCTCCATCTCAATTCAGCTCCCATGAGTAGGAAATCCACTACTCAGTACTCACCACCCTAACCACTGCCATGATTCCAGCAACGCCATGATCCCACCCCCCGCTACACCCAAAAACTCACCCACAATTAGCACCAGACAACCAACACAAAAAATCCAACTCCAAACTCTGCCATCCCCACCACACTTCCCTTCTCATCGCCACCATAGCCCAGACTTTAACTTGACCCACAGTTATGACTTTAAACACCATACTCCCTGACCACACCTCCACTGAACTCCCGCTACCCCCACAGTTCAATCCCCACCAGCCCAATTACAGTCGTATTAACACCAAACCCCAATCATGCAACCCACCACTCCCATGATTCCAATGCATCATGACTCCAACCCCCATTGCTTCCAATCAGGCATAATAAAACCAACCCAACCACAAAAATCAAAATCCTAAACAGCTTAGACTCCATCAGCCCAGCCTCCACAGCCAGCCCACCAACTTTGTGGTGGTTTCAAAAAATGTCCTGAAGTACTTTGACACTGTTCCCTCCAAAAGGTGGAGATTAATTCCCCTCCACTTGTGTGTGGGCTAGACTTTAACTCTTTTTTTGAATAACCACAAGAATATGGTAGCAGTAACTGGGTCATAAAAGACATTGTGGCTTCTTTCTTGCTCTATTTCTGAATCACTTGCTCTGGGGGAAGCCAGCCGCCATGTCATGAGGACACTCAAGCAGCCTGTGGAGGGGCTCACGTGTTGAAGAACTGAGGCCTCTTGCCAACAGCCAGCAAGGAACATGAGAGTGCGCCATCTTGGAAGCAGATCCTCCATCCCCAGTGAAACCATCAGATGACTGTCACCTGGCTGACAACTTGACTGTAGCCTCATGAGGGACCCTGAGCCAGAACCACCCAGCTAAGCCACTTCCGTGTTCCTGATGCTCAGAAACTACATGAGATAATAAATCTTTGTTGTTTCAAGCTGCTTTGCTTTGGGGTAACTTTTTTCTTTTGTACACAACAGTAAATAATTAATACAAACTCCAAAACCTCATCCTCAATCCCATCTCCCTAATCACATCCCATTTCCAGATCCATCCATGTGGTGCGCAGACCCGGAAATGACCCCCAAGGCTTTCCCACCTCCTGTGTTCAATCCTTTGTATAATCCGCTTGAACGTGGTGGCACCTGTGACTTGCTTCCAACCAATAGAATATGGCAAAGATAATGGGTTTTCGCTCCCTTAATTAGACTCCATCTTAGCAAATTGAGGAGAGAGAGTCTCCCCATTGGCTTGCAGCCACATTGAGAAAGCTTCCTCAACCAGGAACTGTGGGTGGCTGAGGGCTATCTCCAGACAACAGCCACCAAAACTCTGGGGCCCGCAGTCATACAGGGCAAAAGGAAATTAATTTTGCTCCCAATCCGAGGAAGCTTGGAAGCAGATCTTTCTCCAGTAGAGCCTCTAACAAGACCACGACCCTCTACAATGGGAGGATTGCAGCCTGGGGAAACACTGAAAAAGAAAACCTAACTAAACCCCTCCCAGATTTCTGACAACGGTAACTGTAAGTTGACAAATGTGTATTGTTTCAAGCCTCTAACTTTGGGGTGATTTGTTGTGCAGCAGTAGAAAACTAACACAATCCCCCAGTTCACTGTGTCAACAACATCCTCTTTCTTCATCGCCATCTCTACCCCATTACTGTCTCAATTCCCCTAATCATGCTTGCCTGTCACTCATTTTCTCCCTAACCTTCTACCACCCTAACAACTCGGTATGGTGATTCAGGCCTGGGTTCCCAACATAGCTCTGCCATTTTTTAAGTTGAGGTGAAATATACATATGTAATTTACCATCTTTACCATTTTTTTCTTTTCTTTTTTCTAATTTTAGAGACAGAGTCTTGCTCTGTCACCCAGGCTGAAGTGCAGGGGCCCCCATCTTAGCCCACTGTGGTCTCAAACTCCTGGGCTCCAGTGATCCTCTTACCTCAGCCTCCCAAGTAGCTGGAACTACAGGTGCGTGCCATCACATCTGGCTGCTTTTTAAATTTTTTGTGGAGACGGGATCTCTATGTTGCCCAGGCTGGTCTCCAACTCCTGGCCTCAAGTGATCCTCCTGCCTCAGCATCCCAAAGTGCCCGGATAACAGGTATGAGCCCCAGTGCCCAGCCCACATCTTTACCGTTTTTAAGTGTACAGTTCAGTGGTAACAACAGCTCTGCCATTTTCTGATTGTTTGACTTGGGACAACTGGATTCCATCTGAGCCTCAGAAATCTCATCCATAGAATGGGAGAGTAATCGCCACCACAAAATGTTCTTAGAGCTGAATGAAGTATCTATAAATTGTCTTTTGTTGTTGTTTTTACAAACTTCTTTTTTTTTTTTTTTTGAGACAGTCTTGCTCTGTTGCCCGGGCTAGAGTGCCGTGGCATCAGCGTAGCTCACAGCAACCTCAAACTCCTGGGCTCAAACGATCCTCCTGCTTCAGCCTCCCAAGTAGCTGGGACTACATGCTCGAGCCACCACGCCCAGCTAAGTTTTTCCATTTTTTTTTTTTTTGAGACAGAGTCTCACTCTTTTGCCTGGGCTAGAGTGTCGTTGGTTCATCCTAGCTCACAGCAACCTCAAACTCCTGGGCTCAAGCGATCCTCCTGTCTCAGCCTTCCGAGTAGCTGGGACTACAGGCGCGTGCCACCACGCCCAGTTAATTTTTTTCTAATTTTAATAGAGATGGGGGTCTCACTCTTGCTGAGGCTGGTCTCGAACTCCTGACATCAAGTGATCCTCCCACGTTGGCCTCCCAGAGTGCTGGGATTACAGGCATGAGCCACCGCGCCCGGCCGTTTATCGTAATATCTTACACACTATAAATATGGTGTGACTTCATTTATTAAGGTGTTTAACTTTTCTCAATAATGTTTTAAAGTTTTCTGTAAAGAAGATGGCATATCTTTTGTTAGATTCCTGGATAATTTTGAGTGTTATGCTACTTAGTACCTTTAAAATTAACGTTCACCTTTTTTTTCAGCTTCCTTGCTAAACCCACTGATTTTTAAGTATATGTTGTCGGATTCTCTGATTCTCTATATGCACAATTATGTCAGCTAGGAATACTAATAGTTTTCTCCCTTCCCAATTCTTATACTTATTTTCTTACCATTTTTAGGATGGCGCTAAAAAAACAGGGGATACCTTTGGGATAGAAGGAAAGGGTAGTGATTAGGAGGACGCATGAGAGGGATTTGGGGGTGCTGGCAATGTCCTAAACCCTGGTAGTGGTTAACATGCATGTGTTCATTTCATGATAATTTATTGAGCTGTATGCTTTTAATTTGTGAACTTTTCTGTTAATAGTATACTTCAATTAAAAGTTTTAAAATAGCATTATTTGCTATTATATATGCTACATGTGGCATACATCAACTATGTCAAAAGATTGACATTCTTTTTGAAACATGTCTGCAAATTCTTTGACATACTCCTTGAGTATGGTCTGGACTTAGTGTCTCATTTCTAACGAATATAAAAAGGGACAAATGATAGGAGGTGACTTCAAAGACAATGTCACAAGAGGCACCGTGGCTTCCTGCTTGTTCTCACTTACACTGCATGTTCTGGGAGAAGTTAGCCGTCGTGAGAAACTGAGACCTCTGGCCAACAGACATCAAGGAACTGAGGCCTCCAACCAACAGCCATGTGAGTGTGCCTTCTTGGAAATACATCCTCCAGCCCCGGTCAAGCCTTCAGAAGAGTGCAGCCCTGGATGACATCTTGGCTGCAACTTCATGAGGACCCTGAGCCAGAACCAGGCAGCTAAGCCACTCCTGAATTTCTGACCTCCAGAAATTGAAATAATATATGTTTGATATCTTAGGTGACCAAATTGTAGGGTATTTTTTTTTTTACACAGCAATAGGCAATTAATATAACTATCATGCTAAAAAATGTTGGCATGACAGGCCCAATCTGTCCCACAGAACCTTAGTTCTATCCCCACCTCCTTCTCGAAGAACCGTACACCACAAGCACCTCTTTGGGAACCAAGACACCCTGTTGGCTGAGGATTAAATGAATCGCAGCGGGCACAGGGGTGGTACGTGGTGTGTGTGTAATTCACCAGCCCTCTTTTGATGCCAAAAAGGAGACAGAATTCATGCCAACATGAGGGGCCATTTATTGTTCAGGGGCTGGGCCCCCCCGTTTTGGGGGAGTTCCCCCACTGCTACCTCCCCTCATTGTCCCCGTGGACCCCTCAAGAGGCAGGTTGCTGAGTTGGTCATGGAGGGAGCACATCTTCAGGTGCAGATAGTCCAGAGCGGCCACCTTCTCCCTGTAATGACAGACAGTGGGAAGCTGGCACCCACAGGGCCAGCTGCTGGGGTGTCGGAGTGGAAGGAGGGGTCAGGCCCTTTCCCCAAGACCTCACCCTCCTCCCACACCCTC